TAATGTGTGTGTGTGTGAGAAGAGAGAGTGTATGTGTGTGTGTGTGTGTGAGAGAGAGAGTGTATGTGTGTGTGTGAGAGAGAGAGTGTATGTGTGTGTGTGAGAGAGAGAGTGTATGTGTGTGTGTAGAGAGAGAGAGAGTGTATGTGTGTGTGTGAGAGAGAGTGTGTGTGTGTGTGTGAGAGAGAGTGTATGTGTGTGTGTTGAGAGAGAGAGAGTGTGTGTGTGTGTTGGTGTAGTGTGTGTGTGTGTGTGTGTGTGTGTGTGTGTGTGAGAGAGAGAGAGAGTGATGTGTGTGTGTGTGAGAGGGAGAAAGAGTGTGTGTGTGTGTGAGAGGGAGAAAAGAGTGTGTGTGTGTGTGAGAGGGAGAAACGAGTGGTGGTGTGTGAGAGGGAGAAAGAGTGTGTGTGGTGTGAGAGGGAGAAAAGAGTGTGTGTTGTGTGAGAGAGAGAGAGAGTGTATGTGTGTTGAAGAGAGAGAGTGTATGTGTGTGTGTGAGAGAAGAGAGAGAGAGAGAGTGTGTGTGTGAGTGTGTGTGTGTGTGTGTGTGTGTGTGGTGTGTGTGTGTGTGTGTGTGTGTGTGTGTGTGTGTGTGTGTGTGTGTGTGTGTGTGTGTGTGTGGTGAGAGAGAGAGAGAGAGAAAGAGTGTGTGTGTGTGTGAGAGAGAAGAGAGAGGTGTGTGTGTGTGAGAGAGAGGGAGAAAGAGTGTGTGTGTGGTTGAGAGGGAGAAGAGTGTGTTGTGTGTGAGAGAGAGAGTGTGTGTGTGTGTGTGAGAGAGAGAGAAAGAGTGTGTGAGTATGTGTGAGAGAGAGAGTGAAGTAGTGAGAAAGAGAGAGAGAGAGAGAGAGTGTGTGTGTGTCTGCTGTTGTGTCTGTCTCGCATATAAGAGAGAGAGAAAGGAGGTAAGATGTTAGACAAAATTAAAATGAGAAATTAGAAAGAAAAAATGAAACAACAACAAAATTAGGTGTAAACAAAAACAAAAAAAAAAAAAAAATCCAGTAAATGACTTTTTGTGGCACCTCTCGTCTTTGTACATTGACCTTTAAACTGATAAGAATACAAGATAAGGATAGAGATCAAAGTATAATCAGAAAGCATATTGTACAGAATTTAACAAACAGTTTAGAGATACTGTGAGAAGAGAGAACCTGTCCTTGTGATTTATGATAAGATAAAAAGCCTGACACAAAGATTATTATTACATAACCAGCCACCTGATACCCGTCCAAGAACTAAGAAACAATGAGAGGGTAGTAAAAGCATGCGTGTGTGCATGCAATAAATGTATGAGCATGTGTTTATATTATAAAATAAAAAGATATAGATATAGAAAGAGAATGATATAAGATTAGATATTGCAGGATAAATAAAAATGAATATTGAAACATATAAAATACATGTGTGTGTATATATGTGTATGCATATATGTATATATGTTATTTGTTTAATATATATATATAATATATTAACTATATAAAAATATATATATATATAATATATAGATATAAAAATATATATATTGTATATGTATGTATAATATATTTAATATATATAATATGGCTATATATATATAGTGTATTATATAATATATATATATATTAGTATATGTATAAAGTTAGGTATATGTAGTAGTGTATAGTATATAATATATATTTATTTATTTTAGAGGATGTGATATAAATGTATGTATAGGGGTGCTATGTAGTAAGGGGTGTATATATATAATGTATATGTATGTATATTATATATGGGGGGGGGGTTGATATATGTATATTATGATAATTATATTTATATGTAGTATAATATGTATATGTATATATATAATTTATAATATATATATATGTATGTATATATAGATATATTATTGTATATTATATATATATGTATATGTATTATATATATATGTTATTATATTATGTATATATGTATATACATATATGTATATATTATACACTATAAGTATATATGCATATATTATATAATACATGTATATATATATATATATATATATATATATATATATATAATAATAATATAATTTGATATAGATTAGATATATATATATATATAATACATATACATATACAATATACATTATATATTATAAAACATATGATATATACAGTATATATAATATATATATATATGTATATATAATAATTATTAGTTATATATATATAATTATAATATATATTATATATATATATGTAATATATATATTATATATATTTATATGTATATGTATAGTATTATTAATATGGTGATATATATAGTTGAAAGATATGTTATATATACAATATCATGCTATATATGTATATATAAAATAGTATAGCATATATGTATAAATATAATTCTACATATATGTATACTATACAAAATATATATATAGTAATGTAATATATATATATACTAATATATGTAATATATACAATATATGGCATATTATGTATTATAATATATGCATATTATGTTATATATATATACATATATGTTTTTACGTGTAAGTTAGTCACATATATACATATATGTATATATAAAATATATATATACTGTAATATATATTACATAATTATGCTATACAGAATATATAATATAGATGTATATATTCTATATATAATGTATACTATACATCATATAAATATATGCATATATACATATACTATATCATATATATGTATAGAGTAATAATATCTATTATGTATATATTTATATATATGTAACTAATACATATAATATTGCATATATATGTATATATATACATATAAATATATACATATATAGTATTATATATACATATATAATATATACATATATGTATATATGTCTATAATATGTATAATATGTATACAATATATATAAAATATATGTATATTATGTATATGTATACTATAACGATATGTATATAATGTTGTATTAATATATGATATGTATACTATGTATGTATATATAGATAGTGTATAATAATGTATGTATAGTATAAGATATGTATATATGTATGTATATAGTAGCTATGTATAGTATGTATGTATATATGTATGTTTATAGATATGTATAGGAATAATGTATATATAGGTATGTTATGAGTGTATGTATTTAGATATAGTAAGAATGAGTATGCCTATAGTATAAAGATATGTTATATATGGTTGGTTAACTATAGACTTGTATCAGATATTATGTTATATAGAGATATGTAGGTATATGTATGTATATATAGATATGGTTATATGTACTGTTATAAAAGATATTATAGTATGTATGTTATATGATATGTATAAGTAATGTAATGTATTGTATAGATTATGTATAATATGCGCTTATGCTATATAGGAATATGTAATATAGTAATGTATATACTAATAGACTATGTATAATATGTATGTATATTATTAGAGATCCTGTTATTGTATGTATATATAAGTTAGTAGTATAGGTATGTATGATGTATACGGATAATGTGTAATATGTATGTTATGTATAGGAGTTGGTATATATGTATGTATAAGTATATCAGAGATATGTAGTATATGTAATGTATATAGTAGTAGATATGCTATGTAAGTAATATTAGATATGTTATATGTTGTATATATAAGCTTGTATATATGTTGTGATATATAGGAATGTGCATTATATGTGCATATGTGTATGTAAGTGTATATATATATTGCATATATGTATGTTATATGTTAATGTATAATTATAGGGTATATATGTATTGTATATATAATATGTATAGGTTGTAGTGTTATATACGAGTAGGATATTTGTAAGTATATGTAGAGATCATAATGTGCATATGGTATATATATGTGTATTACTATATATGCATATGTATGTTACATGTTGTTAATACTAGTATGTCATATATATGTAGTATATATATGTATGTATGATAAATGTAATGTTTGTTTGCTTTATCATTGTTGTTTTCACACTGGAGGCACATACAACTCTGGAATTTCCTATTCATTATAGGTTAATGACTAGTACACTACATGATCAGGGGTGTGTTAAAGATGTTATGGTTGCAGAAATAGTGTTTTTCAGCATTTGCACTCTCTTTCCCAAGTGTTTTGCTGAGGTAGATGTATTGCCAACACTAGCTTGAGGAAAATGAGTCATTGACTCTCTCTCTCTCTCTCTCTCAATCTCTCTCTCTCTCCCATCTCTCTCTCTTCTCTCTCTCACTCTCTTCTCTCTCCTTCTCTCTCACTCCTCTCTCTCTCTCCTCTCATCTTCTCCTCTCTCTCTCTCTCTTCTCTCTCTCTGTTCATCTCTCTCTCTCTCTCTCTTCTCTCTCTCATTCTCTCTCTTCTCCTCTCATTCCCGCATCTCTCTCTCTGTCCTCTCTCTCTCTCGTCTCTCTCGTTCTCTTCTCTATCTGACTCTTCTCTCTCTCATCTCTCTCCTCTC